TAAGTTTAATTACAAAATGCCAATTTTAACTTCACAGCAAGTTCTATGAGACTCACATCGGTAACTGAGCTACGTTTTCTTGAGTAGGTTTTACCTGAAGACGGGGACAGATTCCAGTTCCCGAAACGTTGTGTTTTTGATAGAAACTAGACGGTTTTTTAAGAACAGACAAGATGATGGATAATGTCCAGCAACATATTAATTGTTACGTTTTCTTTCTTTTAAAATAGAATAGGGACACACGGAAACAGGCACACATACAAACACAGACAGCATGGTAATCTCATAAGCCTACTGTTTTCTTTCATAAGGAAAGAAAGTGAGCTAATAAAAGAGCACTGGAAAACCATGCTAAGTCGATATGAATTTAATGATTATTCTTGTGATCATGCCTCCAAGCGCACATCATCATCATTTCATTCTTCTTCGTATCCAGAACAAACCAGTCTGCAGATAACGAGCTCATGCAGCTACCTGGCAACGGCACTTTCGTCTTCAAGAGATCCTCAGTTTACGAGATTGTCAAGTCATTGTAAGGATTTCAGGACTGATCAATGGAATTTAGACGTTATACATTCTCGAAACTGCCAGCGCCGTTAAATAACGTATATAAAAAAGAGGGGAGTAGAGTTTCATTATAACGACTTCGTATTTTATCATATCATTAAAAGTGCAACTCTTCCAAACGGTAGAGCGATTCTGAGGCAATTATATCAAGTAGTTAAAATGTAGAACTGAAATAGTTTGTAAATGTTTGCAACGAATACCCGACACAAGCTTGTTTGGCTTTCCGTTATCTGTAAGCTTGTTCAAATTTTCGAGATATCTGATAATAGAACTGCAAGTTATAATGAGCGCATTTTATAATCCATCGCAGTCACAAAGACGTCATATACATATTTACTTATTGATTCCAACTTGTAACATTTGTAAATGCTTCTAAAATAATATAATGCACACGTGACTCAGTTTGGCTAAGAAGAAAGGGGAGAGCCGTACCCCGACTCTGTCGACTACTGCATTCTGAATGAATGTTCTGAAAACATTTAAAAATAATCTGATCTGTGATTTCTGAGAGATAGTTTGACTTGTAAGACATCTAGGACTTTCTGTCGACATTCCAAGCCTTGACTAGCAACGACAGGATGCGGTTCGTATTGAGTATTTAAAAATAAACTCCAGTTAAAAGTAGCAGACTTTTACAGAGCATTACAGGTAAGGTAAGCATTATGTGTATTTTAAATGCGTTTTTAACGGTCTTCCGACTAACAATTCGCGTTACATTCGAAGTATGCTACTTGAGCAGATGTTACTACACTCACATATATTTTATAAAGCACCACATATCTAAGCCGCCAGGTAAATTGCGTACAGCCAAGTCATGCCAAATACATCAAGACAGCCGGAAGTGCCTCGAGAAGAGCACATACCTGAGCTGAGGTGTAGCTGCTTCTATTGGCCAGAGGATCGAAACGAACTGAGGAGGGAGACAGCTGCAGATGTTGCGTAACTTAGAGTCTTACTGCGCAGACTCTGGTCGGTTACAGGGAATCCTACCCCTCCAGGTCCCACCCATCCCCGCCCTCCTCCTCGTCGATAATACGTAGTCAGGGATCGAACCTTGGTGTGTCGCATGACGCGGAGATGATGGCTCTTAATTGAAAGGGCAGAGGAACTAACACTACAGCCACCTCAAATCTGCTGACAGTCCAACCCGCAAAAGTCTGTGGCCACAAGAAATCAAATTTAAAAACATAGGGCCCTATCAAAGGACGAGCAGGTTCCATTCTAGTTCCCGCGCCATTTAAGTTATGATTCCCTCTATAATTAGACCTAAATCGGTCCTGTGGGCTACCTTACCTACCATCCGATGTGCAAACGGTGTTCCTTCTCCTGACAGCCCTAAACTGAAGTCGATAACTCACTCCACGCAGTGTCGAAGTAGGATTATAGAATGTGTGGAGTGTTACCTCCACACTGCGTATATCTCAAATGTGTGTTGATTAGACAATGGGCCGCATTAGCGTTATCTTCCCATGCTGATTATTAAGTTACAACAGATCTGAAACATAAAGCACATTATTTCTGTGGGAAAACGTACCAGCATCGAATTCAATAACTGGCTTCTTACCTTTTCATTGTGAAAGTGCTGGATAATTTGGGTTACTTTAAAATAAATTTAGACACTTTACCGTTACGTAATCATCCTTTGAGTCATCGCCATTTCCCTAAGACTCGCAACTAAACATGGCGCGACAATATGTAGTTCCTCAAGTTTCTTCGTGATTTTGAATCAAATGGGTTACCACGTTAATACATAGCGTCTAATGTTGCTTAGATATCATCAACAACCAATTTCATAGCAAAACAAATGGCTGCAGCTACCCATAGCTATTGGTCACCATGGAAGTGTGTGTCTCGAATAATTACATCATCACTCAAATAAGGGAAACCCCCATAACCACAATAATCATTTTACATTCACTTCACGCTACAAGACGGGGCGTAGCGGTAGCGTAGTGGTTAAGGCACTATACTACAAGTCGGAAGATCGCGGGTTCATGACCTAATCCTTTCGGCCGCACTATGGCCCTGGGGTTCACTCAGCCTCTAGCAGAAATGAGTACCAGGAATTATATAAATAATTTTCCTGGGGAGTAAAGGGCGGCCGGCGCGTAAAGCTGACAACCTTACCGCCATCTTTGAGCCGATTGTCCTTCAACGTCTCACAACCCTATGAGCCTTCATGGCCTGTTACAGGGATACCTTTACTTTACTCACGCTACAAGACAACCAGAGCTTCGGTGCATTCAACGTTCAATGCAGAGCGTCGTAATTTCTTACGGGTTTTTACTTCAACGAACCCAACTATATGAAGTAAAAATTCCCCTTTCTGTTTTCACATACTGGACTGAAATTTGCGAAGTTTACTTACTTTTCTTATTCCAGAATGGCACTGAAAGCAACTAACACTTTGTGACGTTATATTTCTCTTTCAGGTCTTCGGGACTCTGCTCGCTAAAAGTAATATCTACCCATTATTGCTGGACCGTGTCTGCTAGTATGAAGTCGGTTCAGTATGCTTCAAAAGATGCCTTGGACAGTTTCTCTTTGCTTCATGCTGAAGCAGTAAGCATGTTCATATAAAATGGCTCATATTGATTTTCTGAAAAGTAAACATGGGCCAGTAAACGCTTAAAACCACTTATTTCGCTAACAAATGTAAGAGTGTGGCCATACAAGCAAAGCGAATTCTTAACTTCGGTCAGACCAAACAATACGGTATTTTGGAGACTTAGTTTTAAAACTGAAGAAGCATATGATGTTCACAGCAGATGAAATATTACAAGGGGCGACGTGTTACGACTCGGTCAGAGATGCTTCTAGCAAAGCGTCCCTAGGTCAAATGTTGACGATGTTTCTTCAACTCATGACCTGCAGACACGCTAGAATTATCTCTAAGTATTCTCCCTTAAAATTCCTTGATCAATCGCCAGTACATCAAACAGATTAGAAGACAACAGACTTGATTCGAGCAAAATTAAAGTAAATACTTTAAGTTGCAGATGCATAATCGTTATTAAACATTCCTGTTTGCACCTTGTACTGCAACTTGTGTGAATTTCACCCGTGTCTCACCAGTAGTACAAGCCTCACGTTTGAGAAATTCTGCTCAACAATTAAAATCGCAAACTTAATATTTCAGGAAAGTATTGTTGTTATAATTAACCTCCATCTCCGTGAAGTTTCAACCAAGGCACCCTTCAAGAAAATCTCCTCTCATATACACAAACGTGTTTTCACTATCCATCTCATTGTTGTGGGTTCCTACGTTGTGTAGTAAATAGCAAATTTTCTATAATTTAATCTTCTATGATAAGCAAATACTGTTTTGGTGTACCTGCATATGCATCTAGCAATTTAAAATTTGCACAAATTGACTTTCACAAAACTTGGTATGGATATTAAACCATTAGATATGGTCTGTTGGTGCACCAATGGCCTTTGGCAGGGTCGTTTCAAATCGCGCTTGAGTACTGTTCCGCACAGAGCACAACTTTCCATCCATTCCGCGTGAGTCTCGTGGACCAAAACCTACATATATATGAAAATTCACTTGCCTTATTCAGTTCAACCCTGGAGATCGAGGCAGCATGGACTTCTGAGATGTCGGCAACATATTTGCGCGGTGCAAAGACTCACGAGCGGGATCCACACCACAAATGAACCATCTTGAATGAATGAATGTATGAGGGGTAGGCCTTCTCGGCCCTTGCACCGCGACCTACAGTGGTCTATTGTGCTTGAAAGCCTAAGACCAGTAGCGTAATATTGTACCTTCACATCATCATAATCTATCATGTTGTCTGTAACATTCACTGAGGCATTTTTAACAGAAGAGCATTTCCTATCAAGCAAAATGAAAATAAAATGTCGTGGTTCTACTGACAACNTGGAATCTGTGGTGAATGAAGTGGTACTGGGATATGTTTTCTCCAAGTACTTCGGTTTCCCCTGGCAGTTCTCATTCCACCAGCTGCTCTATATTCATCTATCATCCTATCATTAACGCTATATATTCTGGACACTGAGCATGCCGTTAAATAACACTCTTAAAAAAGAGGTTAAAAATGTTAGCTGTCGTGAACTCAGACTAGAGACGGAATACGAAAATTGTCCACGTAGGGGAATTTATGGACGTATACTGCTCTGGTTACTTCTTCACAGCAGTTGGCAACAACTTGAGAGTCTGGTGAGAATGGAGTGTTTACGAAACAAGTGAATGTTTCTGCTAAATTGAAGGTAAGTTGAAAACTTGTGTTTAAATGTCAAATTGATAGCGAAATGAAAACCATATTCTAGCCGTATATATTTTCAAAAATAGTTTTATCAAACGACAAAACCATTATATCAGCAGATGGTTTCGTTCATTTGTTTCCCAGCTGTCACCAAAGAGAAAAGAAGTTTGTAGCGTCCGGCTTTCGAACATGTACTGACATCTACATTTCACGTAGGATGACCTCGTTGTTAACCTATGCAGTTTAGTTACAAATCGTTTTGTTGAAATTAATGAAAATTTTAGCGCTGTTAACCAACAGACTACGCAGGAAGTAAATCGAAAGAAACATTAAAATTCAGAATATAGTGATGTTAATTGTCTGTATAAAAGGAGCATTTTAGTCTAGTGCTTATCCACATAAATATAGCACGTCCCATAAATAGTTTATAACAACATTGCTGTTTATTAATATAAGTAATAAATCTATTCAGTGAAAAAAGTGGCTGATTGCTACAATTGGTTCAATTGTGGCAGTTAGGTATTTCAATGCTGTACCTATTCTGTTTGACTGGTAGTTCTCAAATTAATATTTCATGACGAAAATTCCATCAGAATCTGATAAGTGTGTCAGCTAAATGGACACGTGTTACATGCTTGTAAGATGTATTGTTTAACTTCGCATGAAGAATGTATGTGTAAAAGTAAAACAGGTAAATAAACATTGTACACTGGATTACAGAGCTGTTTCAGTATTTTTACTGCCAAATTATGTGTATAATGGTTAGAACTCCTGATTTATAATCCTGAGATTTTGAATTCAGATCTTAATTCAGAGATTGGCAATCCTGAGTGAAGGTTTTCACGATTTTCCTCAGTTCCTCCAGAAGAACACTAATGATTCAGTTGTCATGACCTTTCCATTGTTAAATGAAGTACAAAGAAATGTTTTGGGTTGTTTTTTGAAAGCACATTTTGTTACTCTGTTTAAAGTTGCATGTGTTGTCACAATGGCCATGGTAATTATTTGATTATGATGAATAATGTGTAAGTCATAGATGGTATATCCGTTATTTTCAGGTAGATGGTGGTGTGCGCATGGCGGTGGTGACTCGCTACAACTCGTTCCTGTTGGGCATTGCATTTGCATCCATCACCTGGGCTGTGAGCCTCTACCTGTACTCAGTTATTACCCAGGAATCCTCAGCAAAGCTTGCCACCACCAGCAAAGCCCCTTTCATTGATGTTTCCACACCAAACAGTGAGAACAATATAAACTTTGATCTTCAAAATCAGCACAATATTAGTGCAGATGCATTTTTCCTTGAAGCTCCTTCCGATAAGAAATCGAACCACAAAGTATATCACATTGCAGGTAATGACATTGACATTCCATTAGAACCAAAAGCTGAGGGTAAGAGTGTCCATTCTCTGAAAAATGGACACTACTGGAATGGCTACAAGAACAGTGATACTCTGATCCACAAGCTGCAACCCAAGACACTGAAGCCTCATATTGATGAAGTGGGGATGGTTAAGACAGTCGAAGACCAGGCTTTGAAGATGGAGGGATACAAGGTGCATGCATTTAATGTTCTGGTGAGCCGTGAGCTGAGCTACAACAGGGACATTCCTGACACACGCCACCATCTGTGAGTGCCATGTAGCTTTCTCATATGGGGCCTATTCTAAGCAGTCAGTAACACTGTATAGTCTCAATACTGGAAGTGGCATTCAGTAACCTACAGAAAAAGAATAATTCAGACAGAGCCCAATGTTTTGTAAGGTCATATTACCTCCATCTTCAGGATTTCTTGCTTGTCTTACTCCTGCACCCTGAAGATGAAGGCTATATGTTCCATTGAAACGTCAGGCTTCACAGCATTATAGTTCAGACGACGTTAGTTATATAGTACAGAAACTGTAACTATTAGAGTGAAATGTAAAGAATGGAAGAACATGATTCTTGATGGTAATCAGAAGCAGCAAACATATACACCATTCTTCCTAAAAGTCTGATTATAAATCAAATCCTTGGTTGAATAAATTATATGCAGGAAGTTCTTTGTTGTGTGAAATATCTTGTATACTATTGTCGAGAATGTGACTACGAATACCTAAGGCATATTCCTTGTACTGTAGAGGCCACTATTACAAAAACGGAATTTGCAGTTTTTTTTTAAATGTGTCTCAACTAAATTAGTCATATAATTTGTGTTACTAGTGGAAATTTGACAATGATTTGTAATTACCCTTCTGACATATCCCATACACCCTGCATGACACATTTCATTATTATCTGTTCATTTGTAGATGTTTAATACAGGCTGGACATAAATATTTGCACTGGAGTAAGGATGTACTACACATAAAGGTATATCAACATGTAAAGCCATACACTAGGCATTTCATTAGCTTTCAACATAGACATTCATGATCAGTGTATGTCCTTGTTCACTAAACCTTGTGTTGCAAAACAATATTTGCTACTCTTTTAATGATTCTTTCAGAGTTTATTGTCTTTTCAAAATTGCCGTAATGAGCATCACAAATGAGAATTTTTACAACTCCGTGCGTTTTAACCACCGAAGTGTGGCTTGTTTTGATTCTTTAATCAGTCCGAGGCAGTTTGATTTATTTTGTTTATTTTCTTATTTTTTAAGCTCAAGTATTATATTAGAATGGTAAATTATGAACCTTGACATTCGTTTACAGTCACCACAAAGGCAAATTAAAAAATATCTAAGATGTTTAAAAAAACTTCATTTTTCTGTACATTTACCCAGATTTTCCAGCCATGCTCTTTGTTTTTGTACAGTGTTCATAGTAACTTGTGTTGGAAATGTAAATCTCTCCTTCCCACATTTCCTTCACATGCTGAACTGTGACAGGAACCTAGCTATATGCAATTTCATGTACAGCTGTTGATATGAACACACCATTGACAGAAGCTAACAACGAATCACACCTTTTCTAATGAATACTAATATTTACAGTGGTTTTCATTGTTGATGTTAACTCTTATGGGCTTACTAAGATGCTGATAGTGCAGTCTGATGATATGTCTTGCATCTGCAGGTGTAAGAAGCAGAAGTACTCTGCTCAGTTGCCAGCAGCTAGTGTGGTGATTTGTTTCTACAATGAAGACTATAACACCCTCCTGCGGACAGTGCATAGCATCTTAAACCGAACCCCTCATACGTTCTTGCACGAGATCCTCCTGGTTGATGACAACAGTGACATTGGTAATTAACACTGAGTTTTGAAATACAGTTCTGCGTGAGATGTGTTACCTAGCAGTCATCATCTTCCTGACTGTACATTACTTTTACAATATTTTGTATAAATTCTTGCTTATGTATTATTTGTTGCATTCATGCCACTGTACTGTCTGTGTGAATTTCCATGTTACATGCACTGAATTATTGTTAATTTTCTTTAATAATGTGTATTTTTATTTTTATTTTAGTTTAATCTCAAATTTATTACTCTTTCCCCTAAAGTAAATAAATATAATTCTTCTAAACATGGTCCTTTTCTTAATCTGTTGAAAATATTCCGTACTCATTATTACTCCATATTGTCAATATTTTTCTGATTCTCATTTTATGATGATCATTCCCTGTTCTAAACTGGATTTTTTTCTAAATTTTGTTGTACACGTGTGATCGGTGATAAGGCAGGGCTTCAGTTCCAAAGTTCTCAGGTTTGAGATAGCTGGATGCAGTGCAAATTTTCTGTCACTTTTGACAAGGCTTTGAACATGATTCAGAACCATTTCAAGGTGTGTATTCTCTCTGCTGGCCACCACACACATAATCCTACCACAGAGGATACCAGAATCCTGCTTATAAATACTTAAAGTCACTTCTGCGGGCTGCAGAGGCCAGGAAGATTGATCACATTCTTTTCTTTAATGAGTTAGTTGGGCCACATAATGGAAAGCTGTAGAGATATATAAAGAAAGCCACACATGAGCCGGTAAAAAAAAAAAACTTTCTGTAACAATACTGATATAAACTATGAGAAATGTCCTTCAGATCAGCTGCTCTTCAGAACAGTTTTTCATCGATATAAGGCATTGTATCAACATTTTTCTTATCAAGTGTGTTCCTTGGATTCTTATGCAGGCAGCTTCTTTTGTGACTTATATATGTATCTCTGTCTTACATAGGTGGATTGCATGCATCAGTTCAGGCCTACATAGCAGCTAACCTCACATCAAAAGTTACGCTTATTGCAACAACTCGCAGAGAAGGTTTGATTCGTGCCCGCATGTTTGGTGCCAGGAAAGCCACTGGTCAGGTCAGTCCACCCATCTGGATTTGGAAGTTTTCAGAACCTTGCTGATATGGCTAGTCATTAAATGAACAACAAATGTAGTAAATCCATACAGAAGATGTGTGATAATTTTTAGACCTTTACTTTGAAAATAATTTTTAGCGGGTATTATGGATTGTATAACAGTATGCCATTGTGGATTAAAGGGGAGGATTTATTTTTCCAAAACAAATCCCAGAAGTCTTATTTCTTACATAATATGTTATTCAGATGAAAATCTTATAAATGTTATAGGTCGGAAAGGGGGAGGATGGAGGAATGGGTATGAGGTAAATGTAAATCTGTCCCTGTAACAGGCTGTGGAGACGTATAGGGTTGTGAGATGTCGAGACTGCCACATTTTCTAGACAGTTGGCTCACAGATGGTGGTGAGGTTGTCAGCCTTATGCGCCAGCTGCCCTTCACCCCCGGGAAGATTCCTGGTACTCATTTTTGTTAGAAGCTGAGTCGACCCCAAGACCACTGTGCAGCTGTAAGGATTAGGCCAATTGAAAAATCCAGTTATCAGGAATTGAATCCGCAACCTTCCATCCTGTAGTATAGTGCCTCAACCAACTACACTACTGCATGCCCCTATGAAGAGAGTGAATGGGAAGAAGATTGCATTTATTTGAAATTTTCTTGAAGTTCATGTGTTCAGAATTATTTTCCTTATTTAGATAACTAGGGAGCTTTAGTGATGATGTGCTGTGTTTTCTAAACTTGTAATTGAATAGTCAAAATACAGGGTTTGAGCATGTGTACAACTATGGGAGCAAATTGATATTCCATTGCTCAGTACAGTATGATGTCTGATAATTAACTAATGACACTATAGTCACAGGCAGCACTGTATTCAGTTTTATTCCAAACTGCAGTGTTCTTCAAATCAATTCCCTCCTGCAGCTATGCATGAAACCCAGCCTTGTTTCCAGCTGTTGAAGCCCTTCCAGAAGTCATTTCTCTTCAGGTTGTTTAGAACAGCCATCGTAATTTTCCATATCTCTTCCGTGGTGTCAAAACAGGATATCTGGAGGTGACTCTTCATGGTAAGAAAGGAAAGAAGTCACAGGGAATGACATCTGGTGAATAAATGGAGCATTCCAGGACTGTGATTGACTTTTTATAGCTAAAAATTCCTCCTCTGCATTTGGTCATTGTTGAAGTTCTTGGGCACTAATTTTTCACAGACTTCCATCATTTCCAAATTTTATGTCAGAATCGTTGTCTCTATACTGATATTCAGTTCTTTTTCAATCATGCTGATAGTAAGATGTCAACCATTCCATGCTCAAGTTCCTCAGTTTTTCGGAATATTTAACCAATTTTGATGTTATCATACTGCTAAGTCAGCTGTCAAGCTCAGTCTTGTCCCTTTCTTTGAAAAACTGTTTACACCATTCCAAATACTTTGTTTGATTCTTGTCCAAGTCGGAACAAAAATTTTGTGTCAGTTCTTTAATCAAAATATTTATCACCCAATACTACTGAAATTAAAGCACAACAACAATGCACTTGCCAGACTTATTGACAAGTTTGTTACTGTATGGAGTTCAGACATGTACTTATAGGTGGCATCACCCACCATTCACCACAAAGTGACACGCCTCACAGTGTTACCAGTCTTGTTATTTAATTATCAGATGCAGTAAAATGTATTTAAAATCCTTAAAATAACCAAGTTTAAAAAATGAACAATTATATCTATGTCTTAATTAGTCACCGTTGAAAATTTGGTCTATAAAACAATTTATCCCGATGTTTTATTTCTGCTTCCAGATCTGATAACATCATCATATTCACACAAGTTCTTGTGTGCTAGAATATTATCAGACAGATGAAATAGACACTGATGTCAGAAATATCTGTACCTGTGAATAAATTCTCATATGTTATTTATTATCTCAGAATATAATCTTGCAGCTCAGATTGAGTTAACTGTAGGAGCTACATTTCAGGGTTGCAGAATACATAATTTACTATTTTAGAAAAAGTTTGTCCTCTAGAGTTTTCAAGCAGTGCTTTGAAAACTGGGTCTGTTTCTGCCACCATATACTTCTGCCTCTCATACACCCAGTAACAAAAACAGGTTCAGTCTCTGAAAGATTGCGTTTGAAAATCTCCAGATGACATCCAAAATAATAGTCATGTTCATTATTCCCTGTCTGTTTTAGTTACTTAAAATTGCAGGTGTTGGTATTCCTGGACAGTCACATAGAAGTGAACCGTGACTGGCTGCAGCCTCTACTGGCAAGAATTGTTGTATCTCACTCTGCTGTTGCTGTGCCTATTATTGATATCATCAACGCGGACACGTTCGATTACAGTGCATCTCCGCTTGTGCGTGGAGGATTCAACTGGGGGCTACACTTCAAGTGGGAGAATCTTCCTACAGGCACGCTGGCCATCGAAGAAGACTTTGTGAAGCCTATCAGGTCTCCTAATACAAGATATAGTCACAGTCAGAAGGGCCCCAAATGTTGTTCAGTTTGTTTGATTTACCATTATTTCATCTTCACTTAACATACATGATATATTGAGGTTTCAATCTGTATTTTTTTGGAATTTAGGTCCCCCACATGATGAGCACATTTACAGAAGGTTATCTCTGTGTGTAATTAATTAATCATTATACCATGAAGACGTATGGAGGAATGGATATGTAGATCCATGACTGCTTATTTTAACCGTTCAGCGTGGTTTGACGTGTATGTTTCGTCAGGTATTTAAATCGTCTGGGGGGGTTCGACATCTATGTTTCATCCAGCTGCACACCTATGTTATAACGCCCATAATAATTGATGGTTTTGCTGTAGATTGTTAGATTTTTCGCTGGCCTGTTGTCAGTAGGAATATATATAATGAGACACGACTTTATCTGCGCTAAGTCATCGTTACATATGCCTGTCTTGCAGCAAAGTTCCTGTTGCTCTTGCGAGAGGTTTCCTCGTTCAATCTGTTATGAATGGCGTGTTTTCTTTCCTATGAAGTCATAAACAGCAGAGACATGATATGTGCTGTGTTTATAATATCATATTGCCCTGAGCTGGCCACACTAACACACTCAATTGGAATTCTTAGAAGAGGGATGTCCAAAAATTTATTCTTGCAAGATCGATTGATTTCGCACAGTACATAGCACCCAGTTCTTAGAAAAACGTCACGAATTAAGGCAGAACACTATGGTCACCCCCTATGACGATACTGGTGTGTGTGGGGTGGGAAAAGAACTCATTCCTTCATGTATTATCGCTCCAGTTGACGCCATTTTATCGTACTGACCTTGGTGGTCGTTTCGAGGGATGACCATAAATATTTTTTTTGAGCCAGCTAAGCTCTGCTTTCGTGCACTACATACCAGCCAGTTCTTAGAATAACTTCATGAATTCTGTGGTCACCCCTACGACATCTACTGCCGCCAAAATGGATGGAATATCAAAGGCATAGCAACAACCCCTTGTTATGATAACTCGTAACGTTGAATTTACTGCAGCTGACCTGGCAAATAAGCGGATCACGGAAAGACATTTCCTTGAACGTATACCCCTCACGGGGAAGAAGGCAAGGCCGCACAGAAGATGTGTGGTTAAAAAAAAGGGCCAAAGAAAAGATACACAATATTGGAGCGGTGAATGTGGGGCAGCGTTGGGTTAGACGAATGCTTCAAGGCCTTCCTTACACTGCTCAAATTCTAAACCACCTGCTTCCATTGCCGAGATACCGGGCGCTCATATTATAAGGTAAGGTTATAAAAACCATCTTTTAAGATCATTTTAGTGAAAGTTTCATGCTTCAAGGCGTATTATTCACTGCTCAAATTCTAAACAACCTGCTTCCATTGCCGAGATACCGGGCGCTCATATTATAAGGTAAGGTTATAAAACCACCTTTTAAGATCATTTTAGTGAAAGTTTCATGTTCCTATCTCATATAATTTAAGAACAATGATGAATAAATCATTTTCGAGCAAAATTTAAATGGCCGGCTGAATATATTACCGCTGGAGAGACGGCCACGGAATTTAAATAACCGCGCGAAAGGGTTACTGTAATGTTGGGGTGTTCTACTAAAATCTCAACAGCCTATTCCAATTTGGGTTAAAATTTGAGATGGCAATGACCATGTGGATGTGGTGAGTTGTCAGCTGCAACCTCCTACCACTTTATCTCCATGGAAGGAGCCCCTAGTAGCCATTGGATTGGGGCTGAATGAGACCCAGACTCAGTCTGGATGTGGTGGCAAAAGGAGAAAAACTCCTTCTGCTGTGGGAATTTGTCATGTAATGAATATTACATCATCGTGAAAGTACTATATATGGAAAACCATGCCATTGGGATCCATGCTTGTTTTTTGAGATTTAACATTTCTTCGAAAGTTATACTGTTCGTGCTGTTACAGAACTCCTACTATGGCTGGTGGACTGTTTGCTATTGACAAGTCGTACTTTGAGGAGATTGGAGAATATGACTCTGGAATGAACATATGGGGAGGAGAGAACCTTGAATTATCATTCAGGGTGAGTGTCAGTATACTAGCAATTATTAGAAGTCCATTTTTGTTACAGTAATATAATATGTTTCCAGTCATGGTAGCTGAGTGGTCTAGGGCATGTACTGTCTTTGCTCGCTCAGAAGCTGAGATCATGGTTTCAAACCCCACACATGGCATGGATGTTTGGTATGTGTATGTGTTTATTCTGTGTCTGTGTTGTCCTGTGTTTAGGTTGTGGCCTTGCGATGAGCTGATCACCCATCCAAGGAGTCCTACCAGCTGTATAAATGATCATGAAACTGAGAAATCAGCCCTATGCTCCAAAGTGGGAGTGAGAGGAGAGAGAACAAATATATATTGTAGCGTGTTTGGGCTACTGTGGAAGCTGTTCAGATTGTTAGTTTTTTTTAACAACCTACAAGTCATAACTACAATTAATATAACACTGTTGCATGTTTACACAATTTACAAACCTTACACACTAATCTGTTCACTTTGTCTTCAGTAGCCTTCACTTGTTTTACAGTATAACATGGGAGCTATACAAGTGTCACTGAATTACACACTCACAGTACTCAATGCCTTCTCAGTTATCACAAACTATCACTGATTACCACGCATAAAATCTTTTAATCAGGCGTTCAGTTATCCTTCCTCGCGTGGCTTCTTTGACTGACTGACTTCTGTTCTGCCAAATACTGGCTCCTTAGTTATTCCAGTTTCTCTTATAAACCCTCAATCAGACAGGCGGAAAACGCACGTTGCTTCACTGTTGCGTGACCACCGTGTTTACAGAGGCATTGCTTGGCAATACTGCCGATAGTTGTTTACTGCTGCGTAGTAACCAGTGTGGTTCGGCTCGGTTCAGTTCACCTCGGCTCAGTACAGCACAGAGAAACATTGCTTTCCTTACTATTGCGTAACTTGGCAACCAACCGTTTATCAAGAGTCTGTCTTCATGGTAACTCGTTCCACATCTCATTGCCCATCAACGGTTTGACATGTCACAATATGTTAATATGCTGTTCAAAGTTCTAAAAGAATAGGCTGATCTACTACATTAGTAATTATATGCCAATGATAATTTATGTTAAAAACATGCATATCATAAAGAATAATGTTTTAATACTTATACAAGTAGGTCCTGATGCCCAAGAGTCAGCAAGGTAGACAGTACTATATGTATAACAAAGAATTGTGATTAATAAAGTAAATTTCCTTCATTATAACTTGCAGTAAAGGATTTTAAATATAGGATTTTTCTTTTATTCATAGAAATTATTTCAGAAATTCATTTGAAAGTAATACTACATGTTTAATTTCACTGTCTTGTTTAGTCAAAGATTCCAGGAGGGGTAACGAAATGTGTGAATATGTGTGATAGACAAAGGTAGAGTTTTGTTAAATGTATATCAGCTATTATAGAAAATATTTTTGGTATCCTACATTTATCCTGTTTGAATCAGTCTCTTTTTTTGTCTTGATGGGAGGTCTGGATGTGTGGTGGAAAACTGGAGCTGGTTCCATGCTCAAGAGTAGGTCATGTATTTAGACGGCGACGTCCCTATGGGTCACCAACAGGGGAAGATACAATGACAAGAAACTCGTTACGTGTTGCAAATGTTTGGCTTGATGAATATAAGGTACAGTGATCTGTTTCTGTGTGGAAATGTATACTGGTTCCTGCATTGGGGATTTCTTATGGAGTAAATTAAATTGTCTTCCCTTCTGTGACTTGAGATTTCTGGAAAAATTTTGTAATTTGACATGTTATTGACCCAGAGGTGGACTTTACTTGAACTGTTAAATATTAAAGAAGACAAAAGTTTTGGGTCTGAAAGGATAAGGTATTATTCACCATATATAATTTTTAATTATGTCGATGTTATTGGGAAAACAGAGGAAACTTCGTTAAGTTCATTAAGTCTTTAACTTATATGACGCTAACATGACAGGCTTCTGAGTAGAGAGCAACAAAAGTTTTTTGTAGGATTCTGAAAATTTGTATAATAGCAGATCTTTTAGAAACATGAGATCTCTTAAGGTCACTTGTGTCCAACTGAGAATATCAAGCAGGTAAGCCTGTAAATAACTTTTAATTGAATGGAAACACTGATGAACTTTATAGCTAGACATGTAGATTTTGGTATGATAAGAGATAATCATGGAAGTCTAGATGGTGGTTTGCTGAGACTTATTTTTCCATCATTTGAATCTTGATGTCATATTAAGGGCTGGAATGCAGATATTTCAAAGACATTACAAAGACACAACATGATGTCATCAGCTAAAAGATGAAAGTTCTTTAGGTTTAGTAATCATGTCTAAAATAATGTATGAAGCATTTTCTTTTGTGTCCTTGAAAGTACGTACATTAGAGCAAACCTCTGAATTTGACATACATGCGCACACACTCTTACGCTCATCCTCCTCTCGCACCACACGAAGAGAGAGAGAGAGAATTTCTAATTATGAAAGGTAGCTACAGATATGTTGAAAAAGGAGTCTTGGATAGGTAGCAAGGGGGGGTTGAGCGTAGAGGTTGGACATGCAACTAACAGTCTTTCACCATGAAAAGCTACCATGTTAACAATAAATTGTCACAAAGCATTTCAGACTTCAGTAAATTCTTTGCAGGATGTTTGGAATGTGTAGCATCAGGACTATCTGTAGGGCTGCTAAACTGATGTCAGTAGCAGGAGAATTCTTACAGATATGGGATTAGAAAAGCTCAAGGGGAGGGCTAACTTCAGACTATTTAGATGTAGGTTAAATTATAATATAAAAATTGATATTAGAGAAATAGTGTGTGTAGGTGTGGACTGGATTCATCTGATATGGAATAGGGTCCATTACCTGGGATTTGTGAACCCTTGTGTTCCAAAAGAGGATGGATTTACAGTCAACTCTTGATTATCTGGGGGCAAATTAACCGGTTTGCGGCTTAACCGGGGCTACTGAGGCTTTTTTGAGGCTTATATGTTTAATATTCATTCACTTTTGTTTCACATGGTGAGTTGTAACACGATTTTCGCACTAGTATGAACCGAGCTCTGCATTCTTTGGTCCCATTATGCTAACACAATGTTCTAGGGTAGGGGTGGAAGAATGCAAGGATTTGTGGAAAGTTTCAAGGACAGATACATCGCCCCAGTCAGTTTCTTTGTATCGATCTTCAAGTGCGTTAGCAAAATGTCACGGTGTAAAAGGAAGCGTGTTGTGTTAAGTATTCAACAGAAAAAGGAAAATGCCGCGAAAAAGTAAACGACAATATTAAATTTTTTTAAGTGTTAAGTGTGAATATTCGTAAAAAGTGCTGGATGTTGTTGAAGACTGTGATTGAAATAACTAATTCATACTTCAGTGTAATGTAAAAAATTATTAAATAGGCCATGAGATGACATAAAAATGAGGTTGAATAAATTTAAATACAGGTAGGCCTATAGTATTATGAAGGTACAGTATTACAGTACTACTTTTAATAAAATTTGTCTTAACCAGGTTTTTGATTAATCGTGATTTCCATCCCCACCATTGTCCCGGACAATCGAGAGTTGACTGTATTTGACTGCCCAAATAACTGTAAGGTTTCTGAGGAAGAGGCTCTACTAAAAGAGTGTTACTTTTCTTCCCTGTAAGTTTTGTAGCCAATTGTTTTGAAGTGCTTTCAAATCTTCTTGTTCATCACTTAGAGTAGGAGATAAGCATGCATAATGGATAAATAATATTGAGCTGTTGTATATCAGATTCCACTAGCAAAATCCAGACTGAATGAATTTGATATCACCTGCAGGACTACTTCTTTAAGATACGACCTGATGCTAGAAATGTGCCATATGGTGATGTCAGTGAACGGAAGCGGCTACGAGAGAGGTTAAAGTGCCAGTCATTCAAGTGGTATTTGGATAACATATACCCAGAACTCACCCTGCCAACAGACAGTGAGCAGCGGCTTAAGAAGAAGTGGGATGCTCTAGAACCACAAAAGTACCAACCATGGCACTCACGGCGACGCAACTATGTCTCTCAGTTCCAGGTGACTCAGTGCAAATAGGGATATCTTTGTGTGCATTGCTTAATGTCTAGTCTGTTAAGTCATTTAGCAATTTTTAGGTTACAGCTTTGATATTGGTGATAATGGCTGAATGATGAGAGAATCAGAGAAGATGGAGACAGCAATATTCTCCGAAGTGTGCATAACTGCCAACCAAACCTCATGGTATCAGAACACTACAGTCTGAAATCTGGCAGCAATGGAAAACTTTAAAATCTCAAAAACACTTTTTGGTTTATAAGTTTGTGACAGTGATACATTAGTACAAATTTTATGTTTCTGGACATTATCCATCGTTCTTTTTTTTTTTTTAAAACACAACGTTTCAGAGACTGGATTCCTATCTCTGTCTTCAGTTAAACAGAGTAGATTTTACCTGAAGAGGGAAAGAGAAGCCAGTCTCCAAAAGTTATGTTTTGAAAAATAAACAGTGAATGGTAGGATGCTATAAAAGAAGAAGCTCTTCCAGCCACGGTTTAAGATACTGGATGGGCTGAGGAAAAGTACAAAAAATATATCAACATGCATGATCTCCAGGTTGACGTATGCACCTGGAGCCTGCTGAATATGAAAATGGGTGCATTTAATGTTGATCTCTTTCTCATAGGGTACCATAGCAAATTGCAGCAGAAGAAAATAAACTAAACCAATTCAAATGATGATGACTTCAAGTCTTGTTCTCTTCAAAACTGCCAATGCTGAAGAGAGAGAGATATGCAATCCTGTTATATTTATATCAATTATAATTATTATTTTCATTATTGCTTTGGGGGCATGTGGTAGCACAGTTGGTTGTGGCACAGGCCAGAAGGTCGTGGATTCGAGTCCCAATGAGGTGAATTTCTTTAATTTACCTAATCCTTCCAGCCGCGCTATGGCCCTGGGATTGACTCAGCCTCTGAAGAGAAATGAGTACAGAAATCTTCCTAGGGGGGTAAAGGGCAGCCGGTGCATAGGGCTGACAAACTCACCATTGTCTGTCAGCCAATTGTCTAGAGAAAATGTGGGAGCCTTGACATCTCACACCCCTATGGGCCTTCACGGCCTGTTACAGGGATAGGATTATTGCTTTGTATTTTTTTAATTATTGTGGGCTGTTTACAAGGCTGTCAGTGGCTACACTATGTAGCATCAAACTTTGTCCATATCATGGTTCACATAGTAACAGTCAGTTCTTTGTAATGGAAATACAGTGTCTTTTCTCTGAGGTGGGAAGTGGATTTTTAAATACTGTCTAGATGAATTTCTGGCTTCAGAGGGTTGAACTTGCCTACTTTCTGGCTGTATTTAAACATTTAGATTTCTCACACATTGAAGTATCTGATCATTATAATCTGTGATCATATGATTATTCTGTTTATGTTAAGCAGCATGTTTCTTGATTCAGCTTCGCCTTAGCAACACATCCTTGTGTCTCACATCAGAGAAAGATACAAAGACAAAAGGCTCACTGCTCATACTGAAGAGCTGCTTGCGCATGAAGAACCAGGTGAGAATACCCTCTGCTCTAATCAAATTATATGTCAGCCATAGCCAACAGAACGTTATACTTCTTAGGAAGAGGGATTGCAGACTTCGTGTCTAGTCCAGCACTTAAGCGTAGTTAATTTTGACAGGAACTTTACCTCTGTAGTTTTCAATGCATTCATTATTCAGTTAACAATTTTGTGATATTATGGCTGCAATTTGTATTGATATTATTTTACAATAGTATTATTTACACAGTTATTGTACTGACATTACAGATTTCTTGTTTAGCTACTTTTTCAGGGTTTCCCCACCGCACATTCCTTACTTACTGACTGACTTACTCCATAGCTGTATGTTGTGTAAGAACCTTAGTCTCCTTTATGACAGATGCCTATTCTTTTATATTGATTGCCTTTTGCTTCCATCTCTTCATTTCCAGCTCTCCCAAATCATTCCCTGCATCTTCCAGCCACATCACTCTCAGCCTTCCTACTTTTCTTCTACTCTTTTTTTTTTTTTCGCTTAGTGGGAGGTGGATTCCAACTGGGTCCACTCGGCACGGCTGCCACTGATTGGCCTATTGTACCTGCCCCAGGTGATTATGATGATGGAGAATTTGGTGGAATGAAGACTGGCAGGGGAAACCGAAGTACTCAGAGAAAACCCACCCCAGTGCCACTTTGTCCACCACAAATCCCACTTGACCAGACCCGGGATCGAACCCGGGCCGCCGCGGTGGGAAGCAAGCGACTAACTGCTTGATCTATGGCGCAGCCCTTTCTTCTACTTTCTGGCCTCCTTTAGTTTCTGGAATTACTAGAATAGCAATACAATATTTCTATAATTACATTTTTAATTGAGTTAATGTTCCTGCCCTAAATAAACTTAGTAAATTCCAATTAGAAAGATGTAACTTATCTTTAAAACATTTCCTTAGTCATCCACTGTCTATCTTAGGTTTCTACCACTATTGTTTTATAAAGTGAGGTTGTTAACCCACATTCCTTCAGACTGGATGTTGGGCATGGGACTATCTTTCATCTGGCCATTGGTCCTTATCCTTCTGCCAATCAGGAGCTTGTGTCCCTGTTGTTATAGTTCTGCAGGTGATGAGGACATGCAAACCTCCCCACCATGTTAAGGTAGTACCCAGGGGAGGCTCCAACACAAATTTTCTTTTCTTTAACGTTAGGACTGGCAGATGATATAACCTAATATACTGTTTCTGTCATTGGCAGCATATTGTATGATGTTACCCTTCCATGATCTATGTAACCATTGTCCAGGAGGATTGTTCCACATTTTTTTTTAATAAGTCAAGAGTCGTGCAGGAAGTCAGAAGTTATTCTGTCTGAAGGGTGTTATTATAAAGGTGGCTAATGTATCTGCAAGAAGTGAGAAAATTCAGATAATTTAGGAATGACAATTACAGATCAAGATTCTGTTCACATAGAGATCAAGGGCAGATTAAATTCAGACAATATGTACTTTTCTTCATTTCAGAATCTTTTGTGTTCCTGTCTCCTGTCTAGAAACCTGAAGAGTAAAATATACAATACTACAGTTTTGCATGTTGTTTTGTATAAATGGTAAACATCATATTCCATTCTGAGGGAATAACATAGATTGAGGGTGTTCTGAGAAGAGGGTGCTAAGGAGAATATTTCAACCTAAGAAAGATAAATTAAGAGGGGGATGAAAAAAATACATAATTAAGAGCTTCATAAATTTTATGCTTCACCAAATATTAGGGTGATCAGATAGAATGAGTTTGGTAAGAGACCTGTAGCATTTGTATGGGAGATACAAGGTTTTAGGCAGAGAACCAGAAGGGTAGAAACCAGTTGAGGGACTTAGGGGTAGTTGGGAAGATAATATTAGAGTGAATCTTAGACAAATAGTATGAGAGTGTTAAGAACAGGATAACAAGATTTGTTATAAAAACATTTCTATTGTATTCACAGATCTGGTTTGAGACTGATCGAAGTGAGTTTGTATTAGCAACATTGCTATGTCTGGATGCGTCGGAAACATTTCCAAAGTTGGGAAAATGTCATGAGATGGGTGGGGACCAAGAGTGGAAACACCGAGGCACTGTGAGTAGCAAAAAGGACTTTCATTGAATTTACAGGTTAGGAATGACAGTGCTATGTTGAATGTGTCCCAGTGAATAAGAAACTTGGGTTAGAAATGTTCCAAAATGCTGAGACATGAAGAAAATATGAAGGATGCCTAAAATGAAATGTGTTTGTATGCATATTTTAAGCTGTGAACCATTCTTCATGAAACTTTGTAGGACTTTGCGTTACTGACAAGTATCGTGAGCCACGTTTTTCAGTTCCCTCCATATCATAACAATAGTGCTGCCCATTTTTTGTGTCATAAAATATTGTCCCTTTCTCAGAAGGATACACATAAATTTCAGCATAATTTCTGAAAGTAACTTTTAAAAGAAAGTATACGAATTTATGAAAAATAAAATACTGGTACATACAGAATGTAAGATATGGAATTAGGAGATCTGTGATATATATTGTGTTCTTTATATTGTTAGAATAATTACATTAAAGAAATTACTAGAGATTCTACCATATGTTGTGTGAGTGCAGTATAATACCAAAATTTAGTGTGTGTTAACAAAAAATGTAGTTACTTGTCTCTGGAATATCCAGCAGGGTAGGAATTTGTTGATTTTGTTATCACCTTGTTATCAAACATTGGAATTGAAGAATAATATTCAGTTCAGTTTTTTTTTTCTGGTATTCATTTTACCCGACACTGTCAGTGTCTCGACTTTATTGCGTCAAGTGGTAGGATCATTGGTGAACAACAAATGGGAAAGTATGCGGAAAGAAATGATTGTAGCCCCGTTGTGGTACTATCCCAGTATTTTCATGAAGGTACTGGGGAAAATTATGAAGAACCTCACTCATAACAGCTGGTGTTGTGGCCAAGATTTGAACCAAATATGTCCTGAATGCAAGTCTAGAGTATTACTGCTCATCCAGCCTGCTCAGTTTCATTACCTTTGTAAAGCAGGCAGCTGTGTCAGTACGCACACAGTTCATTATTCTGCTTTATTTGTTCCTCCCTCTGTGTATTGTACATGAACTCTGGAATGAGACTCAGCGGAAGCTAGCTGATGCATCAGTCACGCTGGATATTCCTATTGGCAAAACAAACAGTCCAGTCTGAACTGCTTGGCCTGTTGCAGAATGAGACACCTGTTTACAACATGGCAGCAGGCACCTGTTTAACTGCTCAAAGGGCTGTGTCAGGAGAATATGCAGTGATGGAACTTTGCTCTCTCTCAGCCAACAACAAGTGGGACTTTGTAGTAACATGATTAATTGTAATAATAGTAGACATTTTTATATGGGTGGTTTATATAAAAATAAAATAAACAGTTTGTTTAACAAAGTGTTTGTTGCTGTCTGTTTTGTTGACTAGTATTTCATAACCCCATTATGGATAAATTGGTTCAGAATTCTAGTACTGTAAAGAATTTTTACCACTAAATATTTTACAAATCATTAGTAACATGTTACCTTTTGAACCATGCAATGGTTCTTCTTCGTTAAGTTCCTTGGAGTCCCCCCCCCCGAAATGCCAGGATGCGAGCCATTCCCTTCTTTCCAACTAACGTCCTTGACTGACGTCAGGTCAGCTGACCTTGTCCCCCCTCCTTCCTGGACGTATTCCGAGGTTTCGTGGCTAGCTCAGTGAAGCTAGTCGTTCTCTCTTCCCATGGACCTTCGTCTGAAAGCATCGCTACATTTAAATTCTGTTTTGAGAAAGTTGTTTGAAATTTGGTTTCAGCATGTAGCACAGATCTTCCGAGGGAGGAGTGCCCTCACTCAAGGGTGGATCAATCGTGAGGTAAATCTTTGAGTTTGTATACCCAGAATACAAGTGGCTTACTGAAGTGGTATACGCCGTAAGGTGCATTTTGGGTTGATTATAGACGCCATGTGGCGTAGTGTAATTTTGGTTTTGTTAAAGGTTGCGATAAACAGTAGATCGCCCTTCAGGCATGTTCAGTAGTATTTCTAGCTGTCTATCTTCCTTGTGTTACGAAGGCTTGGTCGAGTACATGTTGTACTGGAGAGTTTGCAATACGCCATGAGGCGTGGCCTACTTGAGTTGCTGTGCTGTTGGGCGCAGTGTAATTCTGTATCAATCAGTTATCATATGTTTTAACCAGTCACTGCCCTTCAGGCGGAGTTCTTTTGTGTACTTATGTTATCAATATATATATATATTTATGTTTGAAAACGCCAGTTGAGTATATGTATAATTGTCCATTTTGTATACAGTGGCCGTCTTATAGTGCACACAATTTCACTTGTAACTTCACAACATGTTTCGGCAACACAGTGCCATCATCAGGTGTCCCAACTATGTTAATCTATTGCATTGTCTTCCTTCATATGTTTTCACCAACCATTTAAAAAGTATTTAAAAAGTCCATGTTTGTCAACTATGATAAATTTACACTCGCTAAAACTTGTTAAGATAATTCATCTTATTTGTCTTAATTAAAACTTGTATGTGGTTCATTCACTTTTTAAATGGTTGGTGAAAACATATGAAGGCAGGCAATGCAATAGATTGACAAAGTTGGGACACCTGATGATGGCACTGTGTTGCCGAAACATGTTGTGAAGTGACAGGTGAAATTGTGTCAAGACGGCCACTGTATACAAAATGGATGAAAATCAGTGCAACAGGATGCTAAAATATAACATTATGTATACTTGTGCCGTATGTTCCATACCAGCTCCTGCCTAGCGGATCCGTCCAGCCTGGCCCATCGTACCGACTGTGGTTTTTCTCCCTCGAGATCCCTTACTCAATCTTAGGGAGGCATAGTACATCACGCTAACAAGCAAGTCGTTTCTTAATAGCCTGTCCCTTACCCATATAGAGAAGGGATTCACGGGTCAAAGTGGGTAGAAGAACGGGGTTCTTTACCCACAGGGTCGAGGGATACAGCTCACTTTCATGCACAACACAGAACATATATAACCTGGGTTGCAAACATTTACTTAAGTTTTAACTAAGTGTTTCCATCTAGCATAAAATTTGTTGAAATTTCAATGGGAAACTGGTGAAAATAAACTTCATGGAAAATATCTGACATCAAAACTGGAAGTTCTGGAAATACAACTGCATTTATGCTAAGACTCTAATCTTGATGTAATAATAATAATAATTCAGTTCAATTCAAGTTTATTTACATGCAAACTTAACAGCACAGAGGCCAATTACAAAGCTAGCACCAATAGAGAAATACACAAAAATAATTAAAAAACAAAATACAAAAATTGTAATCTATGTTAATTACACAGCATGAATAAGATACAGAAGCAGACATACAGAGACAAAGCCACAATGTAAGAATTTGAGTTTCAAATAGAGCAGCATACAATAATAATAATAATGAAATTAATAAAAACAATAGTAATAATAATAATAGCAATAACTCAGTTAATAATTATAATAATAACTCTGTCAACATAAATCAAACCTATCATTGAGAAGTGAGAAAATTAAAATATATACAATTTCAATTTGATTTGAATAGACATGGCAGCAATAAAATATAAAACAATTCAAGTTTTAGTGGATCAATGTACAAATATATTAATTAATTCCAACTTTTTGCTCATTTACATGTGAAATATGATTGACAGAAACTGTTCCGATTGCACATATGTCGAGATCTTTACCCACCGCATTGGAAGCATAGGCGCACCGAGGAGAAGGACAGTGTTTATTGGAGGGACAAACACCAAACAATGAGAAGTCCCTAAGATTGCTGTGAGGAACATG